ATTTGGTATCTCAGGTGTCGTTGGTATTTATGGTATGGTAATTCTATAAATAAGGACGTAATAAAATATCGCAATGAGATACAATCATAGTTCTTGAAACCTTTCTCTTTTCAAACTTCATAAATACCAAAATTAAATATTTCATCTTTAAATGAATTTGTTAAAAAAGTTCTTCATTTACATCTGTAAAATAATAAAATTTAATTAGCATTTTTAGTGAAATAAGAAACGAAATGCAAACCATTAATTTTTATTTTTAATGGCAATTTAATGTATAGTTTGTCTTAAAAGTTTTTACTTCATTTATTTAAATTTTCAAACGTTTACTTGGGAAATTCTTGAAACTTTTGCTGAATTAAAGTTCTGTAAAATGAACTCCAAATATTTGTAGATGAAAACAATTTCCTGAAGTCTTCCGAATGCCTTCTTCAAGTGTTGCCAATTCCACATGCCAAATTACGTTTTTCACTAAATTTACTAAAATTGCTGCAACAGCAAAATTGGTAGTATCCGTTGCTGCCACAATATCAGCAACAAAGGCATTCATCACTTCGTTGCTTAATTGTTAGTTGGCATGAATGCGAAAAGAGGCATAAATCTAGATAAATGTACGAGTACAAAATAAACTATGAGTCCCGGGCTGAGTAGAAATATTTTCGGTTGTGCAACATAGAATTACTCCAGAAATTTGCTGACAAGCCAAAAAGTTTCATTCTTTGTTAAAAAAATGTACACTCAGCCGTACTTACATACTCAATTCATTATGTTATTAGGACGTAGAGGGGTAAAGTGTTTTCCTACAACTGAAAAGTATTCGAAATAAATGGAAACTAAAGTGATATGAATAAATTTGATGCTTAATTTGCGACTTTAAAAAAAATACATATGCAATTTTCGTTTTCATTACAAAGCTGTATTGCTTTATTAACTTTAAAGTCATAAAATCAAAAATAAAAATATTTTATATTAAAATTGGAAAACTTATTAAAAAAAAAAACAAAAAAGTAAGAAAAGTTAATTTCGGATTTGCTGAGATATGACAACATGTATTATACAATTAAGGATGTGTGCATTCCCGACCTCTCACAGATATTGCTTTGCGATGACCCAATGTTCACGAACTAAACTGCAAAACCAAACAACAATCATACGAATATTTACATTGAAGTTGGGAAAGTAAATATACTCCTAAAAACGAACACTAAATGTAACATCAATTTCATAACAGAAATCGATAGAAGAAATCAAATCCTTGACACCAAAAATACAGTGATACCACTCATAAGATGAACATAACATCAGTCCTCATAAGTCACCAAGTAATAGAAATATTCTTAAGAACACTGCTAACACTGGTACCGCTGTTTACCAAAGAGTTCAATTCAAGTATGTACAACTTAACTATTAACTATAACTCTTAACTGTAATGTTATAAGTTGTATAAGTTGAAACAGTTGACAAGATTACGATGAACGCGTCGAGAAATTCGCGAGAGTTGTCAGTCTTCATCAGGACATAGAATACTGTTTTCAAAGACATGGTTTAATATAAAAGGTCTCAGACAATATTATAAGTTATTAACCGAATAATCTGAGAAGATTACGATAAAGGAGCAGAGATATTTTGCATAAGGTATCAGATTTCATCAGAACCTGATGACATTGAATACAAAATATTAGCGAAGACAGTACTTAACATTAAAGGCCTAAAGCAATTCGAGCTTCTATGACTAAGTGATATGTGAACATTCGTTATCATTGGTCATTTCCTGACACTTGCAATCCAAAGTTTACATACGAACAATTAAATGAAAAGATGTTTCACTTATAACCACTGATAATAAATATTGGGCAGTATTTGAAGGAGCTATCGCATCAGATCAAAAATTTATTTAATTAAAATATTAATATTAAATAAAATAAAATTTAATATATGAAAGATGAATGAGATTTAATGAATAAAGTTAATAAAAATAATTAGAAAAGATAAAGAAAAACTTATTTATATAAATAAAGTAAGAGAAACAATTATTTAAGAACACTAAAGATATAAACAACTAAAAAAATTATAATGAAACAATGAGAAATACGAACAAAACTTTATATTTAAAACAAAAACAAAATACACTACACACAGCCCAAAAATATAATAACAAATTGTTTTGAACAAAGAATTTTAATTAAGATGACGCGAACATTGTGGAAGTACGATACCCACTTTCTTACTAATTTAGAGCTACCAATCCATTACCGGAATTCGGCTAGATGCAGCAGTTATAATCCAGCACCTCTATGTGTGCTTCTTCCAACGTCTCGTGCAACGAATACGGTTAATGCAAATTTTTCACTGGAGTATTATCATCCCTCTATATCCCCTACCACGCCAACAAAGCCGCTTAATTTGCTAAATGATGTTAATGACATGATAAAGTTCTAAGATAATTAAAGACCATGTAAAAAATATTTTCACTGAACCATCTTAGTAGCGCTTCAACATTTTATGATAGTGTTTACGATTTTGTGATGTACAGCAGTAGAGGTAGGATGACCGACCTACAGACCTATATTATAAATTCATATTTATTTACAATACAGCTTTGAAAATAATAAAAAAAAAATAATACTAAATGCACTAATTATCGATAATACTAACAAATAATGATTTAGAAAATACGAGTAAATAAATTTTAAACAAACAATTTGAAACAAAAATGAACAGAAATAAAAAAAATTTAAAAAATGGACTTAAAATATACTATAAAATGAAAAGAAAATAAAATAATATATACATATAATATATATATATAATATCATATATATATATAAATTAAAAATTTGTAAAAAAAAAACATTTACTACAATTACAAAAAATTAATAACCACTAGAAAATAATATTATATATAGGGTGTTTTTTAAGCAGTATAAGAACTCTCGATATCTATAACTATGGTTTCACAGCTGAGAATGTCAAACTGTGTTGACATTTCTATTCAGTAAGGTTTGGCAATTCATTATGAATCGTTCAACGATAGAACAACTCTTTCTTTCATATTATGAAAATTTATTTTGAAAAAAATAAATCTGTTAACGAAGTTCATAGAGCATTTCGTAGATTTTACGATCAACATAATCGCACGCTATTCGTGTAGTTATTAATCGTTTTCGCACTAATTTTACTCTTCTCGATTGAAAACCATCAATAAGACAAAGCAATTGTGTTGGTCGTTCGGTTTACACGATGGCGGCATCATCAATACATATTTCTTTCGAAATGAGGATGGAGATGCTGTTACGGTAAATGGCGAGCGTTATCGAGCCATGCATCCTAAATTTTTGTCAGCAATTTTCAAAAATTAATCAGTTAAACATCGACGACGTTTGGATATTTGGTTTCAACAAAACGGCTCCACCTGCCATACAGCTTAACAATCGATTTATTGCGAAATCAATACGGTAACAACTTTATTTCCAGAACTGGTTCTGTTAACTGGCCCCTAAACCCCTCGTTCAAGCGATTTTTCGCCTCTTGATTAGTTTTTATGGGACTAGTTTAAGTCATTGGGCTATGGCGGCAAACCACCAATTCCTGAAGCATGTTCATGTCAATGTTCATGTCACCGTTCAAAATTGGACTGATCGAATGGACCGTATAACTCGTAGCCGCAGCGTACATATTTTGGAAATCATATTAAAAAAATAAAAACCTTGAAATTGTCTACTAGATTATAATAAAAAAAATTGTATTCCAACAATATTTCTTCTCATGCAACTAAAAAATCACCCTATATAAGGGAATAAAACTTGAAAAACTTTAAAACAATAAAAAAAATTAAAAAATATAACAAATATAAAAGAAATGTAAACAAGCTAAAAATATATTAAAAAATATTGCAATAATAAAAATCTCGTAAAAAAATAAAAAATAAAAAAACAATCTATAAAAAATTATATCTTTTTGACGACTGCACGTCTCAGGTGTGGTTAAGGGTAAATTTGGCCTTGTAATGAAATACCATAAAAATGTTGATCGTTACGAGTACATTTATTTATTATAAACATAATTCATGTTTTACTGGAGTAATAAATTTGTAAAAAAATCAACTAAAATATCATTAATAAAATTAATAGTAATAATTTTAGCTTTATTAAACTCGAAACGAAACGAACCGTAAGCCAATTAACATCACCGGAAAATAATAATACTTTTTTTTTTCTTTCTGCAGAGCGTTTAGATAACAAAATTATATTCATTTTCACGGTATGCTAAAATTATATATTTTAAGCTTTCAGCTTTCTTGACTTGCAGAGTAAGGCCAACAATTATCTTGCCTCCTGCAACTTTTCATAGCAACACATTTCCATCCAACTAGCATTTAGCTAACCTCCACTATCTCTGACTAGAATCGTGCAGACATCAAAAATGGTTACTCAAGTTTGACATCAAAATGAAAATTAATTTGTCAAAATTCTCCATATTTTTCCAATAAAGTATGCACCAACAGGTATGGAATGCTTGACACTGCAACATGTGTTCACCAATGTCTCTGTCTATGCTGCGGTTGCATATGGAGGAAAATTACTGCAAACATAAAACTCCAAAGAAATACTTATGGACAGTAAATATTCTTTCCCGCTCAAACTAAACAACCACATTTGTCGTGTGTTGGTCAAGTTTAACCAACTTTGGCCAAGTAAAAATTTTATAGGCAGCCGTCTGGAAACCGGTCGGGTCTGCAGCTGATATCGCTCCAGTGTACGGCATATATGGAAGCACACAAATAAATAACAAAAGAGACTGGTGAACTGTAATGATAGCTTTTCGCAATATAATTTTCTTATTATGCACAGCGAGCATCGCTTGGGTTTGAACGCCATTCCTTTTTCCGTCGTTTTGACGGTATAATTTACTTAATGCTCAGTTTATTCGTGGCGATCGCTGCCATTATAAGGATTTTTGAAATAGGAGCGGTAGGCATATTAGGTAATTTCGCGTTGATTTACGGTTGACTCAACACATTCGTTTTTTGTCAATTTTTCGTAAATTGTGGCCATCTTTGACTGATGCGATAGCTGTTATGTTCTTTGAATGCTCACAACTCTGGACAAGTTTTTTTCTAATTGAAATTGTCTGAGTATGAATACTAAATAGGTTATTTACTAGGATATTCTGTAATATAACCAATTTTTAAAAAATTATGTTAAGCGATTTTAATTTTATTTTTTTCGGGCTTGAGCAGAATAATCATCTTACGTTAGCTAAGATAATTTTGTTGTTAGTAAAGTACATATTACGTTATGACTAACCTTTTTTTTTATTATGATCATCTATTTTCTAAATGTTCCATGTGAGTTAATTGTACATAAGAAGAAAATTTCATAGCCTTTAGCAAAGCTGGGAGTAAACATTACTTGACAGAAATACACAGTTTATGCAAAAGTGTATAAATCATGCTGAGGAATATTTTTAAAAGCAGTAAAATAACCTTAAGTTAGGCAATAGAAGATATAATAAGAAAATAACATCCAGATAAGTAATTTGAACGCTAGATATATGTAGATCCTAAGACAAAAATTTTTATTATTGTAAATGAACTAACATAATGTAATTCATCCTACAATATACAATAATTATACAATATACAATAATTAACATGAAAAATAAGCAAAATAAAAAATAAATAAATAAAATAAAAAAAGAATAAACAAAATAAAAAAAAAAATAAATCGTATTTCGAAAAGCACTAAAACCACTCACAAAGAATTTATTTTCTTAGTTAATCTAACACCATGTTCCCACTGCGGCTAAATCAATTTATATTAGTAAAATTCAAGTTTGATCGTTTCCATTAACATAAGTTGATTTATGTATGTGAAAAAGCTTTAATCTGTCAAAAAGTTCTTTGAAAATTTTAGGAGAGCTTTTGTTTATATTTTAATTGTTAGCAGATAACAGTTACTTCTGTATAATTAGCAAAACTAATATAATTGTTTATACAAATCTCAGAATATGCAAAAAATTTTATGTATAACACTAATTTATAAAAAAACATTTGAAAAATGTTTGTCTCTTATTTATTGGATTTATTTCTTTTTTGATTAGTTACATATTGTGTCATGTGTCAAACATATCAAATTTTAATAATTTCCCTTTTGGGAAATATATTTTTTTGCAATATTGCATTCGACATTCTTGGTGTAATTTCCCTAGATCTGTCATTTTCGGATTTTGACTTCTTTCGGTCGTTACAAAAAAAATTTTAAGCCAAGACTTTTACTTCATGTGCAAAAAAACAAACACAAACATACTTGGTCGTCTTGGACGAGTGGCTCCGGAATGTAGACCCGGCCGTTCTTGGAACCCTTACCCATGTATTCGTCTTGTAATCCTTACATGTTATCTGCTTTGAGATCCCGGCGGACTACAACAAAAACAATTTAATGTGCAGATAAATAACTGCTTTTTTAAATTTTTTCCCACTTTTTAAATTTTAAACTTTTAATGGAACGTCTATAGAAATACTGAAAATTTTTTTTCTTTTGATGGACATTGAAGATGAATTTAATACAAATATTTTGAATGGCAAAACAAAAGAATTCAATCAAAATTTCAACAATCATATTCTATTTTCTACATTATTTGCCCAAAAAGGTGCTTTTATAAAGTAATTAAAATAATATAGAAAAATCGTAATGAGTTTCTAATTCCACGGAAAATTTTAATATAGAAAATATAGGTGTTGTCTTTGGAAGTTTTTGGCGGTCAACTAGTATTATTGGAATATATGATATGGTAATGGTAATAGTTTATGGGTTAGGTTGAGGGCTTTATGTACTGCGAACACCTTGATCTTTGGAAGTTTTTGGCGGTCAACTAGTATTATTAGAATATATGATATGGTAATGGTAATAGTTTATGGGTTAGGTTGAGGGCTTTATGTACTGCGAACACCTTGATCTATTGGAAGCTATTGGAGGAATCGAACCAGCTTCTTTAGAGTAAGTTTTTGAAGGTCTTCATTCTGTAGTTAGTATGCACCTAAAATTTTGTGTTCTCTGTGTCCTAGTGTATCACGGTTGGTGATCAGATATTCCTTAGACTCTACCTTATCATAGCAGAATCTGCATACATTTCTGTTCTAGTGTATAAGTGAGAGTATGTATGGCTAGGTGTAATGAAACTATGATACACCATTAAAGAGGTTATGTGCTTCATTTAAGAAAAAAATCCCTGTAGTTAAATTTATTGACACCTGAGATAGATAACTCGTAAATTTTAAAACTAAAAACTGATTTTACAATTAAAAAGATACTAAAACCATTAACGAACATATCAGATATAATTTTAAGTAATGATTTGTTAAATTTGTAAAGTGTCTAAAGAATCATTAGGGACTTTGACTTTAATGGTTTTTCCTTGACTAGAATCTTCGTTGAAAAATTAACTAAACATTTCTCGCAAAAGGCTGGCTGGCAGGTAACATTGTTCACAAATGCTTTCGTTGAACTATAAGCGAGAAACACATTTCAAAGTATCTTTCTAAAGGCAACTTTGCAGTTTAAAGACAATACAAGAACAGCACAGCACAGAACAAAGTAGAAGTAGAAGAAATCGTTTAAAGACATCAAAAAGTAATTTTTAAGAGATGAAATCATTTATCAACTCAGACAGTTTTACTGTTAATGTAATTTCTTGTTATTGTCAGTGTTGCAGTTTTTAGCTAAGAGTTTTTTTCGTTGATAGTTGCTATCATTAATATTAATATTTTTGCAGTTTTAAATAAATTGGCCGATATGCGGGCTTATCGCTCGCCGGATTACAAAGTATGAAGCGCAGGAACGGGCTGAATAATTATTTTTGCAATTTTACAATTTTGCAATTATCAGTTTGAACTTTTGTAGCAACTTTTAAGGCTGAGCTTTACCACAATACACACAGTGCACAATACAAAAACAACAACTACACTGCATAGTCGTATAATCAGTAGAAAATATATCAAATAAATACGAAAATCATTTGTATTTCCCAGTTCTGCAAGATGTATTCATGTCATTTATCGCTGTCGTACAATGAATGCATATGCAGGCGATGTTTACCAGACCACAAGACCACTATACTATATATAGTGGGAGAGGGGTGCAGTGCAGCATATATTTGTAGGTAAATTTTGCAATTATGTTTTATTGTTGTTGGTGTTGTTTTTGTAGAGTTTTCTTGTTTCTACTCATGAGTGCCTCTAGCTAAGGAATGGAACAATGGTTACCCTGGGACTACACTTTTTGCTGCAACTGAAATTGTGAGATAAATTGTGCCGGTTTTCGATGCATTCAACGAGTTTGTAGATTAATTTTACATGAAAAACAAAAACAAATACGAAAAGTAAAATAAAATAAAATAAGTGAAAAACAATTTATTTTTAAAGAAAAAACTAAAAAAAAAATAGTAAACAAAAACTGAGCGTTTTAAGTTAAATGTAAAATAAAATTGTTGGGGTGCTTGTAAAATGCGGTTGAACTCTGAAAAGGAGTTCAAGTGTCGAGTGAAATATGACACATAATATTTCAGACCCATTGAGGTTTTCAAGTGCTTAAAATCATTTTCATTTTGCAATCTTCAAGCGATGCACATAAACATTTGTAAATGTTTTATGTAGATACATTTATGTATATTTGTTTTAACTATACTCGTAAGTGCATAGATTAAGTAGTCTCTACATTGAAATGAATAAGATTAATGCAAATTCAAAGAAATATTGTCTTTCAATACTTTCAGCTGATGCAAAATATGTTCAAATTTCAAAAAGTTGAACAAATTCATTTATTGACGTAAATAAATAAATACCTAACATAAAAGTGTCTATTTAAGTAAGATTATTACTTAAGTTATTTTGATTTAGATAGAAAAGTCAAGTTGTCACATCTCTGCACACCCGTATAAGTTACGACTGTTAAATTTTTAATACTTCTACAATTTATACTTAATATTAACAAATTATAAACTATATATAGAAAGAAAAATTAAATTTGAAAGATTAGACGCAAAAAAAGCTCTTGGTATTTGCAGTTTTAAAAAATTATTTACGAATAATTATATATAAGAAATAATTTCAAGATCACTGATGATGAGTATTTGGCAATATTCAAAACAGTTGTATAGTCAGACAAAAATTCAATTAATTAAAATATTAAAAAGTTTTTGTTATTGTAGTTTACTACTATTTGAAACATCTCTGAGAAGAAAAAATAATATATAAGCTAGTACAGAAAAATAATATATATCGTATATACATTAAGACTGAAAAGTTTTCGGAAATTCTCATTTAAAATTCGCGCGCTGTATATTTTTCGATATTTTAAGTTTATGTAGTTTGGCAGCACTGTCCTTAATTACTATGCCAAAAATGAGCGCGATCTGTCAGACAGTTCGTTTACGGCAGCTGTTGAAACCAGTTCACCTCAGTAGTGCGTTGCGAAATGTCTTCGACGGTCGTACGACCGTCCTGAAAGGCTTTGTACCACTCATAAACTTGAGTTTTCGATAAAACTGATTCCCCATAAGCCTTTTGTAGCATTCGCAACGATTCTGCACACGAAATTTCGTTCGAAACACAAAATTTGATGCAAACTCTTTGTTCAATATTTTTTTCCATTGTTTTTTTCGCAACGCACTACTGAGGTGAACTGGTTTCAACAGCTGCCGTAAACGAACTGTCTGACAGATCGCGCTCATTTTTGGCATAGTAATTAAGGACAGTGCTGCCAAACTACATAAACTTAAAATATCGGAAAATATACAGCGCGCGAATTTTAAATGAGAATTTCCGAAAACTTTTCGGTCTTAATGTATGTTACATATATACATATCGATTACGTATAACCATGAAATTAATCAACTAATAGAAAATTATCAAATTGTATGGTATTTAAAAAAAAATCACACTTGAAGTGGATAAAACACGTCAAACAAAATCTTAAAGAAAGCACAGTGTTACAAATACTGGAAGATAATAACAAATAATCGAGGAAGACTAATAAAAATATGAGGTGAGAGTGTA